CACGAGAAACCCCACCCTGAGACCCCAGGACGTCCATAACTTTCTGGTGTGGGAACGTCGCGCTGTCCATCGCAGAACCGTCGAAACCCAAGAAACGCAGAGACCGCCATCGGGTTGCCATCGACTGGGAGCCAGTGCTGACGCCAGGTGTGCGACCCTCGCGGGGTGCGTCACACGCGCCAGGTGCGCTGCGCACCCCAGGCGCCGCCCCAGAGGCCAACGCGTGCCCAGCGCGCATGGTGCCGTCCGCCTCCCAGTGCCCTCCGTCCTCCTCTTCCTCTCTCTCCCCATTCCCTCGCCCTCTCCCCCTCCCTCCTCATCCCCTCTCTTCCTGCTCCGCCCTCCTCCGCCTCGCCTCCATCTTCCCTCCCGGCCCCCTCCCCTCTCCGTCCTGGTCCGTCCTCTTCCTCCAACCTATTCTCCTCCTCCTCCTCCTCCTCCTCCTCCTCCTCCTCCTTATTATCCTCTTCATCCTCCGCATCATCCTCATCCTCAACATCGTCAGCGTCAGCATCAGCATCATCATCATCATCATCATCATCATCATCATCAGCAGCAGCAGCAGCAGCAGCAGCATCAGCATCAGCATCATCGTCATCATCATCATCATCAGCAGCATCATCAGCACCATCATCATCATCAGCATCATCATCCATCATACATCATCCATCATCCATCCATCCGCCTCCTCCTCCTCATCCTGCTCCTCATCCTCCTCATTCTCCTCCCACTCCTCCTCCTTTTCCTCCTCCTCCTCCTCCTCCTCCTCCTCCTTATCCTCCGCCTCCTCCGCCTCCATTATTTGTCCTAGTAAATACTTCTCCCTGTCGCACCTGAGGCCAGTTTTTAGGGCGGGCTGGGCGTTTCGCCTGAGACTTCCCCACCATGTATGATTCTGAAGCTTAAAATGTGGCAACAGTTTCACAGATGGAGGGCGGGTGGTTTTCAAAATGTGGCTCGCGCCTTAGCGCCGCGCACATTCGTTTTCAAAATTCGCAAGAGCTTCACGGATTGAGGACGGGTTGTTTTCAAAATGTGGTATTCGTTTGACCGCCGCGCACATTCGTTTCCAAAAATCGCAACAGTTTCACGGATTGAGGGCGGGTGGTTTTCAACATGTGGTTCTTGCCGTAGTGCCGCGCACATTCGTTGTAAAAACATGCAAGAGTTTCGCATATTGCGGGCGGGTTGTTTACAACATGTGATTCTCGTTGTAGCGCCGCACACATTCGTTATTAACATTTGCAAGAGCTCCACGGATTGAGGGCGGGTAGCTTTCATCGGTGGCACCTGGCCCAGAGCTCGACGACAGGAACGCGCCAAGCAGAAGCTGAATCTCACCTGCCCACGATGCGGTCAAGCCGATGAGACAGCATTTCATCGGATTTGGGAATGCGAGGGCAGGAGCGAACATCACATTTACGAATTTTCTCAAGAATTGGTGGGACAGGCCTACGCGAGCGGGGAAGCAGAGGCCTGCTTCTGGACGCGAGGGCTCATCCCCAGTACCTGGATGCAGATCCCAGCTCCGCAGCAGCCCGAGGATTGGCACGTGTCCGCGGGCAACTACCTCGAAGGCTGCGCAGGTCACGGGACATCAGATCGGCCTTTGTACATGTTCGGCGACGCCAGCGGAGGAGTTGACAGCGCCGACCCACATTTGCGCAGGGTCGGAGTCGGTTTCGCGTGTTTCCAGGACCTGACGGACGACATGCAGCTCGAGCTGGGTATCTGGGGAGGCTTACCTGGCGGCCGCCAAACGGTGGCCAGAGGCGAGTTGTTGGCACTACTACTGGCGCTGCGGTCATGTACAGGCCCCTGCGTCTATGTCACTGACAACGAATCGGTTATCTTGGGCTGGTACAACCACCGACACCAGCACCCCGCGGGACCCGACAGCGACCTCTGGTGGGACATTGGGCTGTGGTTGGCAGCCCACCCCAATCAGGTCTGCACGGTGGTCTTTGTGCATTCACACCAGGAGGCCGACGACATTATTTCTGGACGGGCTCCAAGGCTTTTGCTTTTGGGGAATACCATGGCCGATGCATTTGCGGCCGTGGGCGCTGACTTCGCCCGCGTGCCCGAGTATCACAGATTTCGTTTAACATTGATCGAGCACAAGGCTTTTCTTGTCCGCATGAGGGAGGGCCCTCCCTCCAGCGCACTCGTGAGGCCCTTCAGTGTGAAGCCGAGCTCGACAAAGGAATTTCCAAGAGCAAGCGTGCGAAAGAGCTCGTGGGGCCTCCTGCTCCGTCCATCTGCAGTATGTTTGCCTCACCCCACGTGTTGTGCGAACAGAATAGTAGAGCATGCGAGCGGTGTAAAGGGTCGGCCACACGCGCCAAACGTAAGGGCTGGCTCGATTCTCCTTTTTTCGATCTCGCCAGTCTCGACGGGACCCTGTTTGAACCCCTATCCAGGACGGCGGGTGCACATTGCAGGGGTTTTCCGCACTCAAGTCATAAAATTCGGTATCACTCGGGGGTCGGGGTGTGGTTTTGCACCATGTGTGGGTGCTTTGCCTTCCAGCAGTTCAAAGAGCTTGCTCGAGAGAGTGCCGAGAGTGTTGAAGGCAATCGCGGGGATTACCGAACCAGGATCTCCAACGGTCTGTGGCCCAAAGCCTCCAGCAAGGCTGAGAGGGCCAAGAAGGAGAAATCCATGGTGCAATTTCATTCAACCGACCTGGTCGCCTACCCTGCCCGCGGACCCCTGCGCGGGGGAGGACGCAGCAGGAAGGGCCCCCCCCCCCACCCCTGCGCCGAGCAGCGCGAGCGGACCCCCCGGCAGAGCGGCCACGTCCAGGCCATACGAGACGCAACGTAGCCCCAGCTCGGCCTGCCCGCGGACCCCTGCGCGGGGGAGAACGCTGCAGGAAGGGCGCCCCCTGCGCCGAGCAGCGCGAGCGGACCCCCGTGCAGAGCGGCCGCGTCCAGCACGAGACGCGACGTACCCCCCAGTTCGGCCCGACAGTTCGATCGATCGATCCTGCGTTTCTCCCCCCTCCGCCCGCGCCGAGCGCGAATTCCAAAGCTCGGGGGCGCTGGCAACGCAGACCGCGGAGGCGGTGGCGTGACGACGGTGTTTGTGCTTTTCAGTGCTCCCGCGGCCCTTCTGTTTCACCGAGCGCGTGGCGGAGCGTAGTAGCACGCCTTTTGCTGGACTGGCACTGCCAGCTCTGACGCTTGACGGTGCAGCGCTGCGGACGCCTGCCCCCCCCGGGCTGCTGCCCGGCAGGGTGACGAGTCCGATCCCGATCCCCTGCCGCCCCCGCCGCCGTCGACCCGAGGGCCCAGCAGGATTGTGTCCCGAGATGGCTGCGGTCGCCCCTGGCGGCCCGCCGCCGCTGGGCGACGCGGCCAAGCTGCGCGCCAGCGGGGCCAGCATCGGGGGCAAGGCTGGGGGGGGGGGGGGCGGGTTCAGGGAAACGAGAGAACGCCTCTTTTCTGTTCCCGGGCGATGGCGGGCGCTATGGGGAGGGGGGAGGGAGGGGAGGGGTCTGGTAAAACGTCACGCCTCGCGCCCACGCCGTCTGGGGATGCCGAGGAAGAGCCACTTGCAATTCGGACGTCGGCACGAATCGAGACGTTGCCTCGAGGGGCGGCCAGAGCTGGAAACGGCCGCTATCTCGGAAGACAAAAAAAGCGCTTTCAAATTTCGAGGTTCGAGGTTTTCCGACGTTGGCGGCTTTCCAGCCTCGGGATGTTTTCCAGCGGCTGCGCCTCGCCGAGAGTGTTCCAGGAGTGTCCAGATCGTCCCGAACGGCCGCCGGAGACCCGAGTTATGATCCGAAAGCCGCCCGACGTCGACCCATCCCTCCTTCTTACTCCAGATCCGCCCTATTTGGGGCGGCTTCGTAAGCGCCCCATTTTTCCGTCGCTGTTTCCACCCAACTTTTGCGGATACCCGCCCTATTTTGCGGACAGTGTTGCGGAACTTGTCCGCAAAGTGGTGGAATTACCCATTGAAGTATGGAAGACATTTCCGCCTTACTTCTCCGAGGCGGAACGTTCCGCCCTACTTGTTTGCATCCTACGGGACGCATTTCCATCACATGTGTAAGTCGTAAACCGACCAAAGTGCAGCCAGCCCGTATCATAAGGATGCGCGATAAGGATGCAAGGGCCTTGGACGCCCATTTCGAAGCTTCTCGAGCGGGCCGCGGCCGACGACAGTGGCCAAGGATGCACCGAGGAGGCAGGGATGCGAGGCTACCCCCTTGGGAAGGCTGCCCAGCCTTCATCTGCGGGGTGACTGCACGGCGGATCTGGAGTCAGAGCACGCTCGGGGGGTGCGCACCGACCCCCACTCGCCCACTGAACGGCCGATAAGGGGGCACGACGGCTCGCCCCGCCCAGGACCGTGCGGATCCGCTATCGGGGGCCCACCCCCGATCCATCGGCGATACATCTCGCCGGCTCCAGCGCGATGTTTCCGCCCCCCTGAGCTGGTCGACTGCACGTGAGAGTGACCTTTCGCCGGAGTGACCGTTGGTGCGGGAGCCTCGGAGCCTGCCCGGTCGTTGGGCGCGATGCGATCGCGGCCGCCTGCGCGCTTCGATTTTGTCCACCTGGCGCCCCCTGAAGCCGCGCACGAGAGGCCATGACTTGCGGGTCATACCTCGAACCTCCGGCGGCCCCTCGGGACGGTGCGGGAACCCCCGCAGCGAACTCGGCGAGGCGCAGCCGCTGGAAGGCACCCCGAGGCCAGAAGGCCCGCCGAGAACCGGCGCGAGCGCCCGAAGAACTCGAATTTCGAGATTCTGCCCCCCCCCCCCCCTCGAAGAAGAATGAACGCCATAAACATAAGCGTGTGGCGCTCCGCGCGGATACTTGGGATCTGCGCTGGGACCCCCCTTTGGCGGCGCCTCCGGCGCCGGAGGCGCCGCCAGGGGGTGTTCCCAGCGCGGGTCCAAGAAATCCGAGCCGAGCGCCAAACGTTTATGTCCGTGGCGCTTTTTCTTCGAGCTGGCCCCCCCCCAGCGTTGCCCCTCGCAG